CCCATCCCGGAACGCGCCTCAGACTCCTTCCCTGTCGTTCCCCATCCCGGAACGCGCCTCAGACTCCTTCCATGTTCTTCCTCCCGCAGAGCCGAGTGCATCCAGAGGGGCGTCTCGCCGTCGCAGGCCCAGGGGCTGGGCTCCAACCTGGTGACCGAGGTGAGGGTCTACAACTGGTTTGCCAACCGCCGGAAGGAGGAGGCCTTCCGGCACAAGCTGGCCATGGACACCTTCAGCGGGCCGCAGCCCGCGCCCCCGCTGCCCCCTCACAACTCCTCCTCCCTCCAGCCGCCTCCTGCTCTTTCACCCAGCAAAGTCCACGGTAAGAAACAACCAGGGGGGACACGGGAAAACAAAACACCCCCCAAATTGCCTAAATTCAGTGATCAGAAGTGCCTTCCTCATCCACCCCTTTGGGAGGTGGATCTGTGGGAAAGGCAGGTTGGATACAGAGGAAGAGGATGGGGGACAAGGGCCACGTGTCCAGGCAAGGACAAGAGGGCTAGAGAAGCCAAGGGGACAGTTCAGCCACACAACTCTTGGCCGGGTCCCCACTCTTCCAGAGGCTGCTGCTCCCTCGCAGCTGGCAGGGAGCAGCCAAGGGGTCACCTTAGCGGTGCTGCTACCCCAAGCTGATCCTACAGCCGTCGCCCTTTCCAGCCACAGGCTCCATGCCTGGACTTCCAGGCCCCGGGAGAGGCCTCTCCCCACCCCGGAGCTGGAGTTCCAGGTCGGCCATGGGTGTCACGCTGGGAAGAGAGGCTCTTCCCAGTGCTCTTCCCTGCGCCCTCACCCAGGGAGGCTCCCGGCCAGCCCAGCTCCCTCCCCGCAGAGCAGCCAGCCCTACCTGGAGGTCAGGGCTGCAGGAGGCAGTTGCGCCCAGTTAGAGGAAGCCCAGGGCACAGCGATGGGAACGGCTCTTCTCCAGGTTCCCCTGCCAGCCACCATCTCTTTATTCTGAGCAAAGACAAGCAACTGCAAAGGAAACCGGGTTTAGCACTTGCTGATGTGTCTCTGTTTCATTTCTGACGACCGTTTCCACCTTGTGCAAAACCCAGGAGTGAGGTACAACCAGCAACCAGCCACGGAGGCAGAGTCCTCCAGCAGCAACCCGCACGGGAACAGCTCCCTGGTGACCACCCAAACCATCCTGCACCAGGTCTCTCCCCCCGGCCTGGAGCCCAGCCAGAACCTCCTGAGCACAGACACTAAGCTGGTGAGTGATACATACTGATATATGCAGTTATATACATAACTATACAGTATATACAAATGTATACTGATGTACTGGTGACTATAGGACACCAGATCCTCTGCCCAGGTCACAATATACACCACTCAGCAATGGCATTTCTTAGGACACTCTTAAAAATAACCTTCTTGCAGCAACATGACATGGTCAGCTTGACACTGGCCATATAATAGGAGCAGTTTTGGGACCCCTGTGCCTTGCATACACCTGGGGAGGGTGAGCGATACAGCACAAAAACAAGAAGTACACCCATTTCCTCAAGGCTAACAAACCACTCTATTCTGAGAAAACAGAGCTCAAGATATGACATTATTTCCTTCCTCCCAGGAGGCCTTTACCTCTCTCCTCCTTCCTCAGGCAGATTCTCATCATCTCCATCTTTCCTACTCCATGCATCTCCAGATGTAGGGGACACGTCTGGATACCTTTGCTGTATCTACCTTTTCAAATACTTTACCTTTTTTTAGTTTGAGTTTCTCTTAAGTAAACCTCTCTCCACATAGTGCTAGTGTTTCACTTCTAGTGATGGGACACACCACTTGTGGTCTGCACCCTCTTCCCTTGCTTGCAGGGTTCTCCCTTTGCATTAGTGCATAGCGGCCTGAGGCAAAGCTGAGATCACTGTGAATGAGCATGACTTAAATCTCTGTTGTCACCCACTTGCTCTGTTGGTTTTCTGGCCTCTCTCTGAAGAAATGTCTTTCACTAGGCACTGAAAAGATCTTCTGCTAGAGACATCTTCTAAAATTGCTATCAGGGTGATTTTAAGCCTGTTGCAGTTTACTCTTACTAAAAATTCCCTACATCTTTTTATCTCTGGGGAGAAAAAAGAGAAAGCATTAATAGAAAGCACTGAACTTTCCCTACCAGCAAAGTATTTTTTAAACTATAAGTCTTTAAAGGGCTTTACACGTTCAAAACTCCACCACAACACAGACCCAGGTTACAGGGCTCATTTCTGAGACCGAGGAAACAGTTAAGTTATTAAATGTTCTGGCGATTCAGGCCGAGCCAGCCGGGCAGCCAAGTCTAGAGCAGTCCTGCTCTATCCAACCAATCTGCTGCTTTTCTGGGAATGGGCAGCTGCTGGTCAGTGTGGGCTGAAGGACGCGTGGCAGGGACAACATAAGAAAACATTTCAGCAGCTCCTTTAATATCTCAGTCTAAAAATCCACTGGCCCCAAAAGCCACTTGTTGAGAGGAAGGAAAACGGCAGCGTTTCTCAGGAAAAGTGAATGAGAAAGGAGGAGCTCCCACACGGTGCTGAACTCCACAGCTAAACCTGTGTAATTAAGAGAGGATCAGCCTTGCCCACGGGGAACGTAGCAACCTCGTTCCCGTCTGTGCAGCCCTTTGGAGCTCTGGGATGTGAGGAATTAAAGGAGAGGGAAAGTCATTCTGAGTTTTCCTACCGCTGACCTGTACCAGCTAAGCGAGGGGCATGAAAACAGCCCCTGCCCATGAGCAAGGGCAACATCTTCCCCACCAGCGAGAGGGGAGCAGGTTGCAGGGGCTGCCTGGCACCTTCTCACAGCATCACAGGATGGTTGAGGTTGGAAGGGACCTCTAGGGATCCCCTAGTGCCCCCGGAGCAGGGGGCACTGAGGCCTGGCTGCCCGCAGGTGTCGGCGCCCGGGGGCACGCTGCCCCCCGTGAGCACCCTGACGGCCCTGCACGGGCTGGAGCAGAGCCCGCACGCGCTGGGCCAGCAGCCGCAGAACCTCATCATGGCATCGCTGCCCGGCGTCATGGCCATCGGCACCGGAGACACCTCCTCCCTGGCGCCTGCCTTCACCAACACGGGCGCCTCCACGCTGGTCATCGGTGAGTCGTGCGTTCGACTGCCCCCCTTGCTGCGCTGGGCTCTTCTGTCCCCAAAGTGCACCTCTTTCATAAAATGGACCTACCCTCTCCCTATGCTCTCTTCCCAGGAAGATAGAGGTCCTGTTTTGGTCCATTTTGACAGCTGTGAACTATTTCCATTTCCTCCTTTACCCCCAGGACTGTTATGATGTGGATACTCATTCTGTGCAAAACAGAAGTTGGAAGTTTCCACACAGCATTAGCAGTGTCTCAGCACTGCACAGACTCACTGGTTTACAGCTGCAGTGTCTGGGTGGTTGTGGGCCAGGAGCAGCAACGCACAAAGCCCCCGTCTCCCTCTCACGGGTGCAAATTCTCTAATTTCTCAGCCTAAACAAAAGGAGCTCCAACTCTGTTCCAAGAGTTCTCCCTGTTGCCAACAAGTTCATGCAAAAAAAAAAAAAAGAATAAAAATGAACTGGCTGCTGAAAGGAAATGCAGTTTTACCTGGGATTGAGGGTGCCGACGGAGCCTCGTGCCGGGGTATCTGCACGCTGCGGGGCGGTGCCGCGGGAGGCCCCACGGGAACACGGCAGCACCCAGGCAATCCCGTGGCCCCTCTGCTCTGTGTTTCACACTCTCCTGTGCATGTGCATGTGTTTCACACGCTCCTGTGTGTTTCATACCCTCTTGCTTCCTTTTCATATTCACAGAAAACACAACCAAAGCTCCTGAAAAACAGCCACCGAGCTCACCCTGCTAGGGCAGACCTGCCCTCAAAAAGGTAAAAATAAGGGCCGAAAAGGTGGTCTCAGCACTGTCGCTTTGGGTTTCAGGCCTGGCCTCGACGCAGCCCCAGAGCGTGCCGGTGATCAACAGCATGGGGAGCAGCCTGACCACCCTGCAGCCCGTGCAGTTCTCCCAGCAGCTGCACCCGTCCTACCAGCAGCCCCTCATGCAGCAGGTGCAGAGCCACATCAACCAGAGCCCCTTCATGGCCACCATGGCCCAGATACAGAACCCGCACGGTAAGAGCAGCGGGGCGTTCGTTGCGGAGCTCTCCCCATCCCCGTTGTTACTGTTGCCCTAATTACGAAGTTATTTCTCTTGCATGCACCTTGCTGTCCTTGCACCCACACTGTCCTGGGGCCAGAAAGCAGGTCCTGGAGAGCAGGACCAACTGAGCCCAGCCGATCCCGCGCCAGGCTCCAGCATCCCGGTGACCTTGTTGTCTTTCACGCACAGCTCTGTACGGCCCCAAGTCGGAGGTGGCCCAGTACACGCACACCAGCCTCCTGCCCCAAACCATGGTGATAACAGACACTGCCAACCTGAGCGCCCTCACCAGCCTGACACCAACCAAGCAGGTAAGAGCCTCAAGCAGGCGCCCTGGCTCCACACCTCGGAACCGCACCGGGCTGCGGGGCGCTCCGGGACGGGTGGCTCTGCTGCAGGACATCCCTCCTGCATCCTCACCTTGGGGCATTAGAGAGCTCTTCACCGCCACGAAGGGCTTGGACCTCCCTGGGAGCAGCCCCTGCTCGCTCGTCCCTGTGCTCCTCTCTCGTGCCTGTAAGAAGTGATGCAGAAACCAGTCAACTTTGCCTCCAGGCATTCGCGTCCGACTCAGAATCCCACACGGAGTCTGGGATGCACACGCCGGTGTCGCAGGCGCCCACAATCCATCTACAGAGCCAGGACACAGCCATCCAGCACCTGCAGCCGGGCGCTCGCCTCACCTCGAGCCCCGCAGGTAAGAGCGGCAGCCGCCCTTGTTTTAAGTCACACTGGGCTCCACAGGACCCTTCCCAACACGAGGGCTGGGCGCCCCAGCAGCCTGCAAGGGGGACTGGAAAGCTGCCATATGGGGGAAATAAAGGTTTGGAGCACAGCAGAGCAGGGAATCATCCATACAGATGGGCTTGTGAAAATGGGATCCCTCTTAAGAGTTTCTAGAGCAGAATAACCTTAAAGGTGTCACAGTGACCAAGGTCCACACGCTGCCAGACCAGCAGGCAGCTTGAGCTGAAAAACCCTTCACATCCAGACCTAGGCTGGAGCTCTCCAGCCCTGAGGAAGGACATCAAGCACCAGGCAGGCTCCTTAGGACTCAGCTCCCTCGCATTCCACGATGTTTTTGGGCCAGCTTTGCCCCTACTCTGTGTACATAGGGGCACATAAAGCAGGAAGGGTCTTTGCTCCGAGGCCAGGGGATCTGGGGGCTGCGGCAGGACCCGCTCCTAATGCATGTCTCCTCCGGCAGTCTCCTCCGGCAGCCTTGTGCTCTACCAGAGCTCCGACTCGCCCAGCAGCCACAGCCAGCTGCTGCCCTCGGCCCACAGCGCCATCGAGACCTTCATCTCCACGCAGATGGCCTCGTCCTCGCAGTAACCGCAGCCGCCGGTAGCGTCCCCAGCCGCAGCGTCACCACTGTCCCTGCGCTCACTTGGCGCCCTCAGCGGGTTAAGACGCCCCGGGCGTCGGGAGCCGCAGGAAGATGTGGCCGGCACCGCTGGGAGCCACTGCCACCCCCTCAGCCCCGCTAAGTCCAACCCCAGCAGCCACCTGGAAAGACTGGAAATCCTGGTGGCTGCTGAAGAAGGAAGCCTGGCGAGACAGGGACCGGGCTGCGACGCGGCACAGACACCCGGGCGCGGGGGGATTTTCACCTCCCCGTGAGGATGGGCCTCTCCAAACCTGCCAAGGGCAGGAAAACCACGTAGGGAAGAGCAAAGCGGAGCTGCCCGAGGCTCCTCTGCCGTAATGCAGCACCAGGCAAGAGAGAACCCAATTCCTGGCTTTGCAAATAAACCCACCGAGAAAGATCCAGCCACAGCCGGGCACAACCCTGTCAGGACGGGAGGGCTGACTGCCACCTACAGTCCCCTGATTTGCCCGAAACAATCCAAAGAAAACCCAGCAAAACCCCAAACATCTTCCATGTGCCAGTTCAAAATGACCTGCTTTGAAAATCATGCTATCCTAGTGGAAATGGCTTGGTTGTTTTTGATATTGCTCTGCTTTGTTTTAAATGCAGAAATTAAAATTTAAAAGCAGACTGGCAATTTCAGTTTTCTGCATCTGGTACATGGATTCTCACCTTCGTATCCTGCTGAAGGAGACGGGGACAGCTCTTCCCTACAGCTCCTTGGCACTGCAGGAAGCCTGCAGGTTTTTCCATGCTCCAATCTATAGCTCCTTACTTTGCCCTCTATAAGGACCTCAACTCAGATGGATTTGAGAGAGCAGAGCTCATCCTCAATTTCCCCAGGGGCTAGAATCTACCATGCAAATAATTTCCCTGGGGTCTAAAAGCCTTATTTGCACTAAGTGAAGGTTTTCTGCCCTAAGGAGCTACTTACATAATTCCTCTTCTAATTAGTCCTCTCTTCGCTATTTACTTTCAACCTTGATGCCACTACATCAGTAGCCAGACATGAAAGCAACTCCAGCTCATGTATTTTTGTCATTGAAATAGAAATGGCGCTATTCTCTTGCCAACAAGGACAAAAATCTGGGAGACTGGAACAGACTCAAGATTGAAGAGCTTGAAATTAAGGTTAAGGGAGATTTTAAAGGTCTAATAGCAAACTCATAAATTATTGTACCTGGAGATTTCAAAATTATAGACGTCTCATTCAATTCATACTAATAAGAGCTTCCTCTCGATACCATCAACCACCAGAGGCCAATCTCAGTAACTAGAGCCTTTGTGCAGTTTCACCCCAGAAGTGGCCCCTAACCTCCTACGTGCATTACTTGCAAATACAGTTACTGCCCAGTCGGGCTAAAAATCATTATCATAAAACACGTCCAAAAATGATGTTTAGAAAACTAGGCATCTATACTTTTTGAAGAATATGTAAAATCCAAGGTTTAAGGAAGCCAGACAGCCCAGGTGCCAGCTTCACTAAACTGAAGTGTTGGCTGTCCCCAAGTCATTTTTGTTGGCACCATTAGTCAGTTTACAAGCCAGTTTTCCGGTCAGCTTTTCCATTTCCAGATGCCAACAATGTTGTCTTGAATGAAAAGCAATGAGGATTATAGCAAAGAAAACATCTAGGTTTTTCCCCTGCTCAAAGAACAACAATTTTCTCATTTGTCCAAGTTGGCTTTCAAGTTCTCCCAAAGAGGGGCAAGGAGTCAGAGCTGCTCACACGAAACAACCTTAGGAACAACAGGCATCCAACCAACAGAAACACTAGAGCTTAAGGTTTGGTATCTAGAAATGGAGGAAGAGCCATATTGAAAACTACCAAGAAACTGCTATTTAAACACCCAGACAGACCTAATTTCATCAGAATACAAACTGAAACACAGTGACTTTGAAATCTAAGTCCTTCCCAGAGCAATTTTGTGACATGGATCACAACGCAAATAAGGAGTCAACTAAAATAGTTTTCCTCTGTGGCTGGGGATCTAACTGAGCCACTGCTGCACCAAACCCACAACATTAAATAAGACAAATGCAGCAGAATTTAGTAACAACAAATGCCACAGCAGATGCTGCAAATGAAAGTAAATCTCTAAGGAGACAACTTGAACAGAATTAGCTGTTTATAAGAACCTGCAGTAAACTCATGATGCTCCTTGTTTAGCTGTTAGGTGCAGAGGTCCCAGAGATGTGCAGATTACAGAGGGATTAATAACACAGCAGGTATCAACAATAGATAGTTACGATGACCACAGAGAAAGTAAATGGGCCTTAGCATCTGCAGGATACTCCAGACAAAGGCGCTCCCCACACTGGAGCTCCCTGCGGTCCCTGGGGTCCAGGGAGCTCCCTAGTTGGAGCCAAGGAGGAAAAGGAGCTGAGTACCTGCTCGCATGAACCAGACCCAACCCATGTGCTCAGAACACCAGGCTTCTTTTGAGCGAGGCAGGAGGGGACAGCTGTGATTATGTCCCTCCTGTCACTAAGCCTGTGCCCAGTATTTCATGCTTTGGCACTAGGTCTGCCCAAGCAGCAGCACCTACAGCCACTGCAAGGGAAGAGCCACGTTCCCCTCCTCAAGGGACACCGGCAACAAAGGAATCCATTTAATAAAAATCTCAGGCCACAGAGCTTTTAAAACAGAAGCTCTGCCAATTAACCTTCCCTCGTCTGCAGCCACTTTGTGACGTGAAGGACACCAAAAAGAAGCTAGCACAATCATCGGCCGTTTGCAGAGCAAAACCTTAATTCTTTCTTCCTTTTCTTTTTCTTCTTCACTCCTTCTGGCAACACAGCTGTCTCTCTGATATTTCTATCATGTCTCTCATCTTGTCCATTTGTAGAAACCAAACACCGCAAATCTTTCCTGATCTGGTCACACTCTTCTACATCTTCTATTGTGTCTTTAATATTTTTCTCTCCCTTCTTTTTCTTTTTCTTCTTTTTCTTCTGGCTGGGCTCTGCACAGCTGTGATTCAGATCCTCGCTGGGCTCTTGGCACAGGGCAGGAAGAGCACTTTGCTTCAGAATGTCTGTGCCCGACACAGCAGCCTCCTGGTACCTTTGCCACTCTTCATCACTGTCCGAGTCACTGGAGAGGTAAAAAAAGGGAAGGAAATTTTATTACTTGCCTTGAATTCAGCCAGGACACAGGGAGCAGAACCATCCATAGCTTTAATGTAAGAGCATCCGACTGACATCTGGCCATAACCCCTCGTGACCCACGTAACATGTTTGAAGGCTTAGTGTTCTTACACACTAAGAGGGGGCAGAAGGTTTCTCCATGAGTGTTTCTGGTTCCTCAGCATTAAAACAAGAAGCCTGCTCATTTTAAATTACAAAATCACATTTCTCAAGTTCTTCGGCTTTCTGGCCCCATGGAAGCATCCCGGGTGCCTCCAGATCGGGAGCTGCAGCGCCGTTTTCCGGGGGCAGAGCAGCCACCAGCGCCTCACCTGGAGCTCGAGGGCCGTCTCCGCCGGGCCGGGCAGGGCTCCGGCCTCCCGCAGTCCCCAGGGATGGAGGAGGAGAAGAGACGAAAGCCTGAAATACACAAGAGGCACAGAGGGAATTGTAGCCAAAACCAAACACTGAGATGAGAGCAGTCAACGGCAATTGCTCCACGAGGCTCCACTGCTGTTCATCTTGCTATCAATAATGTTCTAAATAGCAATTATTTGGGACTAAAAATCATCAAAAAGTCAGTTCTTGTGCAGAAATCGTAACCATGCCAATCCTTAATGGTATTAAGGCACATTCTTATACTGCAAATGCTCTTTAGTTAGTTGTGAAATGGCCACTAGACACGATCCACACCAATTAGTATTTAACTAGCAGTGTCAGAAACAAGCCCCAGCACGTGACTAGGACTCACCATCATCTCCAGCGTCGAGCTCTTGCACGGCAGTTGATGAAGGTGCCGATGACTCCTTCAGGACAGTGATAGAACTAAGCAGAAAAGCTGAGTCAGGCAGGTTTGTGCAGCAGAGCAAACCAGAGTCGCACATTCCCAGGAAACAAGACGGGAGGGAAGTGCGACTGAGTTTCTTACTTTTTCCTAGTGAAGTTGTTTCATTTTCCTGCTTTCAGAGCGGACGGAGTCTTTGCCCATTACCAACACGTGCCACAAGAAAGACTGGGCAAAAGGGCAGCTCTGAATAGCAGCAATTTAGTTCTCAAGGCCATATATACCTGACAAAGACCTGCGTATCACACAGGCAGGTGCAGCTTATCAACACAGCCTGCTGCCAGCACAACCCTGCATCAGGTCCTGCTGCAGCTTGCAAGAATAAAAGAATAATAAAAAAAAAATGCAGCTCTTGAAGGCTGAAAATGCCCAGGCACTTAAATCCTGCTTTTTCCTCCCCACAACACACTCACCACAGAGGCAAAGGGGAGCATGTGCTCTCTGAGAGCATGGCGCTGGCTCAGGTCACTGTAACATGCAAGTCTGCAGCAGGGGCAGTAACGAAGGGGACATGAAAAGGGGCAATTTCTCCTTCAGATTCACACTGTGCTCAAATCTACAGTTTCCCATGCTCAGATCCACACCTCCCCATGCTCAGAAGGCAGAAGCACCAGTGCTGCTTCTCCCCCAGACCGAGCCCTGGGCATCGCGTGCCGGTACCTGTCCAACATCGCTCCCAGCTTCCTGGCCACGTGAGCCCTGAACTCGGGCGTCGTCTGCAGCTCGTTGCCATCCTCGCTGTGACCATTCACATCGCGCCTGTGTGGAAGTAAGAGAAAAATTCTCTTCTTTCAAAGCTGACAGAGGCAGCTGCTCTCACCCATACAAAACATGAGCGATTAAAACCTTCCAGCATCTGGTAACTAACTACTACTTAGCGGGTAGGGAAGACTGTTAAAAAGGGACAGAACAGCTCGGCAGCATAAGTGGAGCACCCAAGAAAGAGCTGAATCGATTTAGCCACCCCCAGAATGGTTAAAAGCTGGTGATTTTCTCACAGAAACAGCTAACAAATACAAACAACTGGTGCCAGGACACCCCTTCGCTTGCAGGTGGTTCCATGGCAAACAGCTTTGCAGCAAGGTCCCGATTCCTCTACCCGCTGTCCTGATTAGGAGTCTGTGGGTCTCAGCCCCTGAGGCTGTGGCCGTGCTGCAACCCCACGCAGGACACGGCCCCGGTGTCGCGGGGCTCCGGCCCAGGTGCTGGTAACCGCCTGTCTTTGCAGGAGTAACCCCTGATTGAATCCACCTTCCCGAACGAAACAGGCGGGGGAAGCGCTCGGGGCAGCGCTACGAGGCCTCGACCCCACCGGGGGCGCTTGCGGGGGCGGCCGCGGGGAGCGGGGCCGGGATGGCTGCGGGGCGCCGGTACCTGCGGCTGGGCCGCGCCGCGCGCTCCTCCGCGCGACCGCCCGCCATGGGAAGCGGAGGCCGCCGAGAGGCGGCGGCGCCTCCCGCCCAGCCGCCGCAGTCCCAGGCGGCCTCCCGGAACCGCGCGGCCGCCGCCTCGTCGCTGCTCTCGCTGCTGCTCTCCGAGCTCGGGCCGCCCCTGCGCGCCGCCATCTTGAGGCCGCGCCGGCCGCGAGGCACGCCGGGAATTGCAGTCCCGCCGCATGGCACACCGGGAGCTGTAGTGCCGCCGCGGGGCACGCTGGGAGCTGTAGTCTCCCGGAGGGCGGCCCCGAGCCCGTTTCTGGGTCCCCATGGGTATAAAAGAGCGGCGCCCGGGCGCGCCGGTACCGGCTGTTCCCCGCTCCCCCCTGCTCCCCGGGCACCCCGGGCCCGAGCGGTGCGGGCGGCCCTGGAAAGGGCTCCCCTCGCGGTTCCCGCCGGGCAAGGCGCCCCGCTCCCGGCCGCGGCTGCGCTCCCGCAGCGGGGCTGCGAAGGGCGGAGCGGGAGCCGCGAGCGGGAGCGGCC